GACCTCCTCCTCCTGTGGGCGGCAGAAGGTGTGGTCAGGTGAGGGGCCCTGGCTAAACTACTCTGGAGTCAAGTACACCTGGGTTCCAATTCCAGCTCAGCCAATCCCAAGCAGTGTGACCTCAGATAAGTCTGAACTTTGCCTTCCACATTTAGAAAATGAAGAAATAACGAAATGCTTGAGACTTTGATGAGGCCTACAGAGTGCTCAGCTCATAGTAAGCGGTCAATTAACAACAGTAGTCTTAAAAAAAAAAATTAAAAAAAAAACACAACAACAGTAGTCTTCCTAGACATTGTCCTTTTCCAGTTAAAAGCAGGAAAGTAGACTGGAGACTGTCCATAATCACTGGAAAGGAGGTGTCCAACGTGAGCTGGAGAGGGAGTGAGTCAATCTGGACAGATGAGGGCTCCCTCCTCGGGGCCCCTGCACGGTGTGATACAGACCTGGTTAACCACCTGGTTAACCCATCGAGAGTAGGGAGGGAGATGTGCCACTCCCACAGGCCCTGGGTGCCCAAGCATGATGTAAGAATGGCCAAGAGCCGCCTTCCAGAAATGGGGAGGATGAGTCAAACTGAATCAGAAGCAGTTAAGGTCACCCTGGGTCCCTAGGGTTACTCAGAGTGACCCTGGTATATGCCTGGCAAGAACGATGAGTGGACTGGTTCCAGGAGAGCAAGTGGGACTGGAAATCACCCAAGACAAGGAAATCAACAGGTGGAAACTCCCTGCAGGCAGAGCACACTTGAGAAGCAGCGACAGAGGCTGAAAGTGGCCTTGGTTGGGTATTTTTGAGGGTGGGGCAGTTCCAACCCCCTCTCCCAGTCAGCACCCCACTTGAGCCAGGAATATTGGTCTCAAGTCGCAGCTTTCTTCACTTCAACTCCCCAGTCACCAAACCTTTGCTCTGCCCAGGTCCTCCCAAGTGCGGAAGCTGAGACAACCCTGAGTCGACCTCTGCCCGCCAAAGGTCTCCTGGCCCTTGCCACTTTGTCCTGTCAACGTTTTCAACATTTCCTCCCTTGTCTGTCACCCCCTACCGGAACCGGTGCTCCTGGCGGTAGGACAAGTCCATCTTGCTCACTGCTGTGTGTCCTGGGCACAGCTCAGACTCTGACACCCCACTGAGTACTTAATAGATACTTGCCAGGGCAGTAGACTCAGACTTTGGTGGGCTCTCATCACATCTCTAACACTCATTATGTGGCTATGGGTCAGCCTCTCTGAGCCTTGTTTCCTCATCTGTAAAGTAGGAAACTAAATCCCTGTGAAGAGCTTAGAAAAACCAGATCAGAAATTGGGATGGATGGAGCATCCTGCCAGCTCTAGGAAGTGTCTGTCTGAGGGCTCACAATTCAAACACAGATGTGAGCAGAGCGACCTCCAGAAGACGGAACCGAGGCACAAGGAAGATGTGCTGAAAGGCTGCCCAGGGACTGCCCTCCCCCTTCCCGATCCCCCGGGCCCTGGTTTCTCCTTCCAGGACCTCTGGTTAGATCACTTGCCTTCAATGTGCCTGGGAGTTTCAACCCAGAGGTTCTGAAGTGTACCAGCCTCTCCCGCCACCTTCCTGTATGGGATGCGGCCTGGCTCCAGGTGGTAGGGAGGGTGCTGGAGACAGCAGAGATGGATGACTCTGGTGCTAGGGTCACAGAGCCAGGGCTGTGTGTGCGTCCGTGTGTCTATCACTTCAAAAACATTCACTGGCTCCGCACTGTACCCCAAGAGGGAGGCAGTTCAGCCCAATGGTGAGATGCCGGAACCATGAAGTCTGAATGGACTTAAAACATGAGTGACAAAATGCACTTTGCCCTTCCTAAGACCCAGTCTCCTACCTGATAAACAGGGCTCTGAAACATGATGCATGTTCAGTTCTCAGCATAGGGCCCAGCTCATCCTTAACACTGAAGAAATGGCAAGTGTTTTTGTTTGTTTGGCTGTCAGTTCTATGAGGGCACGAGGGCCATTTGTTTTGACCATTCTTGGTGCCTAGGTGGATGAATGAATGAGTGGAAGGAAGAAAAGAAGGAAGAGATGGAGGGAGGAGGGGGAGAAGAGAGGAAGGAGCTGCTTCCGCGCCCACTGCATCCTCCTTCTCCCATCCGGGAGCTGCCTCAAAGCTCCTCTCATTGAGTGTTGCTCCATGTGGTCAGGGAGGAGAGCTGAGCAGAGACGGGAGTGTGCTGGGTCTGAATTCTGCATCTGCCTCTTGCCAGTTGACTGGACTTAGCCTCCTCAACATTCTCCTCTGACAAATGAGGATGATCCTACCAACCCACTCACTGAATTGTAGGGAGGTCCAAAAGATGTCTGTGAATACACTGAACCCATTAGTAAACTGAAGAGTGTTAGGGACTGTCTTGGTGCAGTGATGGGCAGTGTAGGCTCTGGACCCAGACTTCCTACAGTCAAATTTCTGCTGCACTGCTTGCAAACCTTGGGCAGGATGCTTAACCTCTGTGGGCAGTTTTATTATCTGTAAAACAAGGAAGATTTCAGCACTCATGTCACAGAGTTGTGATATTTAAATGAGATAATGTACGAGAAACTCTTGAATCAGGGGAGAATGCATGGCAGGCACTCAATAAATGGTGGCCATGATAACAAAACCTGCTCTCGGGAAAGATCCTGTGAACTACTTCTCACTAAAGTGTGAATGAGTAATAAGACCTACTATGCCCCCCTCTCAGAGGAATTTGAATCTTAACAGGAATGAAAGGAGTGAAGTCCTATTTAATGGTGGAATTTTCAAAAGTAAGGGAGGAATATAGGGGTTAGAGAAGGACCTTCCTAGGGTCCCTCAAAATCACAGTTGCTGCCTGTTGCACAAATTCTGCGAGGTCCCAGAGGGGGACCACACAGGGGGCAAGGGAGAAGAGTCTCAGTCCCTGAGAAACTCCTCTCTGCTTGTAGAAACAGAAAGCAACTTGCCCCCAGGACAGTGCATAACTCCAACACGCGGAGTGCCTCTGGCAGCACGGCTGGCAGCAGCCCAGGCCCAGCTATCAGAGAGGCTCCAGAACCAGCGAGGGAACCACAGCGCCAGGGCCGGAGGTGGGAATGTGCACCAGATGTGATGAGGACTGGCCTGGGACCAGGGAGGAAGTGGCGGGCTCCCTCCCAGCGTGAGGGGGAGCCTCATCTCCTACATCTAAGTTTTCTCTGCTGGAACCTTAGTACCAGGCGAGCACCTGGAGGAGAAGGGCCATAGTTTCTGGAGCCAGACTGCCAGGGTTCAATCCTGGCTCTCCTTCTTTTCAACTGTGTGACCTTGAGATATCAGCATGGGGACAGAGGTAGAGTTAGCTGTGGGCATCCATCCCCCATCTCTTCCAGTCCTCCTTTGGAGAAACACTTCTTCCTCCCTCCTTTTCGGCTCACTGGAACAGGTGAGGCTGCTGGCATGGGACCTGTGACCAGACCCATCAGTCAGCACTGAACCTTCCTGGGCAGGGTTTTTATTTGTGTGGTCATGTGACCACCAGTTGTCTAATTAAAGTAAATCCTGGGACCTGTGTCATGATTACTAAGAAGAGATCCTTTTCTACTGACCTAGAATTTGGGGTTATATGAACCTGGAGCTGAAGACCACTGATGGCAGGGTGGAAAGATTCAGCCTTTATGATGTGTTTGAGCTTCCGGATCAAACCATACCTCAACGTTGTTTCCCAATCAGTAAATTCTCTTCTTGGCATAAACCAGCTTGAGTCAGGTTTTTCTGTCACTTGCATCAGAAAGAGTCTGAAATTTACACGATGAACTTTCTTAACCTCTCTGTAAATTTCAGTTTCCTCATGTACAAAAAGGGGATGATGATAAAAGCATTTTTCAGAAGAAAGGAAGGGTTGTTCTAGGATGATTCAAAGGGTTGATCAGAGTCCAACACTTAACACAGACTGTGACATATGTTAGCCACCTAATAGCAACTCTTTGGTGTTCCACGTGTGCTATGCTAAGTCACTTTAGTTGTGTCCAGCTCTCCCATGGACTATAGCCTGCCAGACCTCTCTGTCCATAAAATTCCTCAGGCAAGAATACTGGAGTGGGTTGCCATGCTTCCAGGGGATCTTCCCAACCAAGGGATTCAAACCCATGTCTCTTATATCTCCTGCACTGGCAAGGGAGTTCTTTACCAATAGCGCCACCTGGGAAGTCCTAGGTGTTCCAGAAGTGTTAGCAAATCTGGCCCTGGGAAATGAACTGCAAGGGCATCTGGGAAACAGCCTCTTCCTGTAACTGAGGGGTCCCAGGAAACTCTGGGGGGTGGGGGTGGGGTGGAGGACACTCTTCAGGGAGGACTGCTTTTCCATCCAGATCACAGTTGGCACCAAGAAAAGCTCTAGTGCATGTCATGATTATCTTTCCTACTCCTCACAATGAAGCCCATTTTACAGATGAAGAATGTGAGGCTCAGAGATTAGGTCCAATTTAAGAATAACTCCACCACCCACTCTGCTGGCTCAGCCCCACCCTTGGAGCACATCAGTGTGGTCCCATGGTGGGGCCACCTCTTGCCAAGTCTCAATCCCAACTAGGCTAAATTAATAAATGGCTCTGCTATTGTTGAATGAAGGCTTCCATTAGTAATTCTAGGCGGTTTTGAAAAGGGCAAAAAGTTATAAGCACTCTGTCCCTCCCTTCTCAAGGGCGGCTTTATCTTTAACCCTGTCTCCCGCACAGGGAACTTCAATGAGATCTACTGGTTTCCCCTTTCTGATCTTAAGTAGTAGAGACGCTGTCACCAGTCAGAGGCGGTTTACCCCCCAGAGAGAGCCTGACGCAGTTTTGCTAGAGGAAACCACGCAAGCCTCAAGGCTTGGCACGACCCTTCCTTCCGGCCAGGCCAGGATGCCTGGGGGTGGGGGTGGGAACGGCACCTCCCACTTCCCTCCAGATAACTGCCAAATCATTCTCACGTCTGAGGACTGAGCTCACCTTCGGCTTTTCCCACGTAGCCTCCTTGAGCCTTAGTTTCCTCACCTGTAAAATGGCACCCACCTATTTCAGGGTCGTTTTGAGGGCATCACGGAGGGAAAAGTCCTGTGATGTTCAGCACAAAGTCATGAGTGTTGGAATCCTTCCCCCAAACAGAGAGAGGAAGGCACACGTGCATGCTGGCGAGGACAGAGAGAGGATTCAAACCCGGTTCTTTGGTGAATCCAAGCCCAGACCCTTACCTCCAGGAACGTTTACCTCTTTTACTAGTGAGATCCTCCCCACCCCCTTCCCTAATACTTTTCCTCCTCAGCCTCCTCCCCCGCCCCGCCTCCGCCTGGCAGCCCTCGGGGACCTCCCAGCCTCAGCCTCACGGAGCCAGACCTCTCAGGCCTGAACTGCTAAAAAAAAAAAACCTGTTTCCTCCCCTGACCATTCACCCAGCTCGGCCTGAGAAACGTCCAGCGAGATGCTCCCCTACCCCCACCCTCACCCACGACAGACTCTTGGACACACCTTCACTGTAGCCAGGATAGGTGCGATCACATGTCCCCGGGTCTCCCTGCCTGATAGGAAGCGAGACGCTCACCTGCTCTAATCCCAACTCACTCTGCTTGCTTCTGGTTGGTGCTTTCTAATGGCAGAGGCGGGATCTCAACCTCAGTAGCCAATGAAGAGGTCCACAGGAGTGCTTCTAGTTGTCACAGCAACAGGGAGCTACATCTTACTACCCCCATTCCGCAGAGACTGCTCTTGCAAGGATCAGACAGCTCACACTCCGGGGGCCCCAGCTCTACCTTAGAATAAGGGTGGGGTCAAAGTTGAGAGGCAGTTAGGGCCCAAGCCCTTCTTAAATGCTACCAGTGTAGTTGAAAAAGAAGGCTGCCTGGAGGCAGAACACTATGAGTATGCTTCTGTTAGAAGGGACAAGGAAATCCAATTTACTGCACTGGAAGTGGTCATAGCACTGGAGGGGCAGGGCATGAGGCTGGGCAGTTTAGGTAGAAATAAGTGTAGTAGGTGCCTAGCAAGCAGTTAGGGCCTCTGAGCCAAGGCTCACCCAGGGCAGGGTGGGGGACCAAAACGAGCAGCCACAGCTGAACTATGGGTCTCACAGTCCTTCTGTTCCAGGCAGGAAGAGAGAACCAAGGTCACCAAGGCCATTCCCTTCCCTCCAGGCAGCTGGTACTCCATCTTCAGTATAGTCATGTCCGGTCTTGGGCATTCATTAACCTTGAACTCTTCCCAGGAAAGAGGAAGGTGACCAGGTTCATTGTCCCCATTTTACAGATGAGAAAACCGATGCCTGCCTGGTAAAGTATCTCACCCTTGGGCCCTGGGGCCTGGCACTGGGCCCAAGCAGGGCTCTCTAGGCCTTTAATTCCCTGGCGTGGTGGCTTGTCTAAGGAAGCCCCACGCCACAGTGTTGAAACTGTCCACCCTTGCTGATGATGCAGGGATGCTTTGGCCTCCTGAACCCCCTATTTAACGAGGCAGGTGAACCAGGACAGAGAGCCCTGCCCCTGCCTGATGGCTCTGGGTGGGGGCTCAGCAAGACAGCCCTGTTGGTCCTTCTACGAGTGAGTCCAGTAGGTCACTCTATACTCCCCATCTCAAGACGCCCACAATCTAGAATGTAAATTGGTGTAGCTGGATGGAAAATAGTATGGAGAATCCTTAAAAAACTAAAAGTAAGAGTTCTATATGATCCAGCAGTTCCGCTCCTGGGCATATATCTGCAGGAAACTAATTTGAAAAGATGCATGCACCCCAATGTTCCTAGAAGCACTATTTACAATAGCCAAGACAAGCAACTAAATGTCCATCAACAGAAGAAAAGTTAAAGAAGACATGTTCTGTGAACACAATGGAATACTGCTCAACCATTAAAAAAATGAAATAATGCCACTTGCAGCAACATAGCAGAGAAGGCAATGGCAACACACTCCAGTATTCTTCCCAGGAGAATCCCAGAGACGGCGGAGCCTGGTGGGCTGCCGTCTATGGGGTCGCACAGAGTCAGACACGACTGAAGCCACTTAGCAGCAGCAGCAACATAGATGGACCTAGAGATGATCATACTAAGTGAAGTAAATCAGAAGGAGAAAGACAGATACCATGTGATATCACTTACAGGTAGCATCTAAAAAAATGGTATAAATGAACTTATTTACAAAATAGAAATAGACTCACAGGTGGTGCTAGTAGTAAAGAACCCACATGCTAATGCAGGAGATGTAAGAGACACTGGTTCAGTCCCTGGGTTGGGACGATCCCCTAAAGGAGGGCATGGTAACCCACTCCAGTATTCTTGCCTAGAGAATCCATGGACAGAGGAGCCTGGTGGGCTACAGTCCATGGGGTCACAAAGAGTCAGACACAACTGAAGTGACAACATACACGCACAAACATAGAAAATAAAATTTATGGTTACCAAAGGGGAAGGGTAGGGAGGGATAAATTAGGAATTCAGGACTAGCAGATAAAAACTGCTATATTTAAAATACATAAACAACAGGGTCCTACTGTATAGCACAGGGAATGTATTCAAAATCCTGTAATAAACCACAATGGGAAAGAAAATGATAAAGAATAAGTATATGTATGTATGTATAACTGAATCAATTTGCTGTACATCAGAAACTAAGACAACATTGTAAATCAATTATACTTCAATAAAAAGAAGAATCCCACAGCCTAACCAGGAGACAGACCTGCACTGACCGCACAGTGTGATAAATGCTGCAGAGAGAACGTGGACAGAACATGGAGGGCTTACAAGAGAAGGGGTGCCTGAACCTGCCCCGCAAAGCCAGGGGTGACCTCCCAGAGGAAGTAGCCTTTCAGAGGCCACAAGACACGTATGTAGGCCTTTGCCAGGCAGACAAGCAAAAGAAGGGAGTGCCAGGCAGAGGGAAGAGCATCTGCAGAGACCAAGAGGCCTGGCGAGCCTGGCACATCAGGGAAACTACAAGTCAAGAGGGAGACTGCAGCAGAACCTAGGCTTTGGAGCGAACGCACAGGACAAGACTGTATGCCCTGCAGTTGGGTGTTTCAATCTCTTTATGAGCCAGCAGGCACCCACATTTGCTTTACTCCAAATGGTAGATTCATAGATCCCTTAGAACCACTTCTGAAAATCCCACTTTGAGAAATGTTGGATTAGAAGCTAAAACCACTGTCAACTATGACTACAGGCCGACAACATGGATGAAATTCACAGGGTGAGAGAAAGAGGTCAGTGCAAGAAAGAGTCATCCTATATGACCCACTTATATCAAGTTCGGAGAAGTCAGGATAGTGGTTACCTCTGGAGGGATGTGGGAGATTTTAAGGAGGGTGTCCAGAGGGCAGTAATAATATTGTGTTTCTTGATCTGAGTGTTGATTTCACAGGTGTGTTCTTTGTGAAAATTCATCCAACTCTATACTTAAGCTTTGTATATTCTTCTGTATGTAGCTTCCGCTTTAAAAAACAAAAGTTAGCTGCTTTCCATAAATATCAGTGCAAATGTAGACATTAAAACTTTGTGATTCCATAATCGGCTGTGAGCCAGGCATCCAGATGATATAGAATATGTTTATATTCATTTTTTATATTATTCCCAAATGAAAACACAAACATTGTATAGTCTCTCAGAGAGCGCTCAAACTCCACAGAACTCGTCTACAGATCCCAGGGTTTGAGGAACCCCAGCTCAAGTGGAAGCATAACAATGCTCAGTTCTAGTTTTGGGGGATGGAAGATAAATGAGGGGCCTGGAGTGTCTTCCAAAACCTCTGGGTTTTAGACCCAGCTCCATCACACCTGGAGAGGTGGGTCTCCCTGGTTTGGCCGTGAGCTCTTGAAAGGCAGGGGCCTCTCTTGCTCGCTCTGTGTCCCTGGTGCTCAGAGAGGGACCTGGCACACAGTGGGTCTCAGGGGGCCTTTTCTGACAGGGCCTCTTTGGCCAGCCCCATGTTGAGCATGGAAGAGGGCATCTGTTTGGGAAGCTGTGGTTTCCCAGTCCCTGGCTGAGTTCCACACCACAGGCTCGCAACCATGGGTGGGCGATGCTGCAGCAGGGATTCCAGGGTGGGGCTGGTATTGTTCAGTTCTCCCCAGAGGGGAGAGCTGCATGCAGAGGGGGCTCTGAGCTCTGGGGGACCATGATTATGGGCAGGAAATCCCAACCCTGCCTGCCCACCAGCCTCGCTGGAATTGGTAACAACCCAGCTCTGGGGAAGACAAACTGTTCCAGAACCAGAGAGGGCTGCATCTGTGGGCAGGATGCTCAGCAGCCACTCAGCAGGTGTCTCCTCCCGTCCCCGGGGCCTTCCCTCCCCAGCTCAGCCTTTCTTGCCCACTCTCAAGAACCAACCTCCCTCTCCCACATCCCATCTGTCTCCGCTCAGCCAGCATTTTCCAAACCACCTTTACAATTTGTGCCCTAACCCTGTGCTACCCAGAGCATCATTTACTTAATAGTTTTCTTTAAAACAATGTTCAGTTGTTGTTGTCTTAACTTGCCCTTGTGAAGTATTTATGAAATCCTGGATTTGATGTGCCAGTTTTTTTTCTAACACACATTAAATTTTCATTTAAAATACCTGTTCTTGTATCACCTAAAACTACCCTGTGTACCTTCACAATGGAAACGATTTTGTACAATGGCTCAGCCAAGATGGTGGTTATTATTATTAATAATAATAATTATAGCCTCACATTAGCAGCAAGCTGTATGCCTCTTCCACACATTTGCATTCAGTCTCATTCAATCCTCTTGGTTCCTACACTATGGACATCATTGGCCCCATTTTACAGGTGAGGAAACTAAAGCTCAAAGAATAGTAGTGATTTGCTTAGGGTCACACAGACAGTTAGGACTTTGGTCCTGATTCAAGACTCTAGGGCTCCTGACCTAGGAGAAGGCAGGGAAGCAAGAGACATTTTCCTGTCTCCAACCAGACTCACAAGAGCCACAGGATGGCATCTCATGGTGTTGAGTTTGGATTAGACATGAGGAAGGACTTCCTGGCTAGAAATGTTTAGGCACGAGAATGATTGGCCAAGGAAGGGTGTGGAATGCCCAGTTTCCCAAGTCCTCAAAAAAAGACAAAGGCCCAGCTAGGATCATGCCAGTGCTGCCTAGAGGCAGGAGAATGGACTGAATGACCTCTCCAAGCCTCATCCAAGCCCAAAGATTGGGTGCACCCTGCCATCAAGGCAGCCTTCCTTGCCGTTTCCCCAAAGTGTCTATTAGACAAGGCAAGGCATGTGGAGGCTCCCACTTAAAGGAACCAGGAACATCTCATCTTGGCCCTGACCCGTGAGGGCGTGTCAGTAACAGCAGGCCTGGGTGGCAAGGCATTAGCTCACCCTCTTCCCTTTCCACTGCTCTGGCAGCTCCCGGAGCTCATCTCCGAGGTCTGGAGTCGAAGGCCTGGATGCCCTCGGAACCACTGGGGCTGCTGGGCCACCCGTGGGCCACCTGAACCAGGGAACCTGCATTTCTTCCATCCTCTCCAGGGGATCCTTTGCAAAACTCCCTGATCTGAAAAGTTAGACACATACTGACTTAAGGTGTTGCCTCTCCAAGTAATGA